GAAACATGTCAATATAAGAATTTACCAAATTGTCCTATATGTTAAACATTGCAGCGAATTCTCTTTCAGATATTTATGTATAGAGAAATAAACTAAAAGATGGTTTAATTATATAGATAAATAGATATGAAAACAATGGTAGAGATAGATAGATAGATAGATAGATAGATAGATAGATAGATAGATAGATAGATAGATAGATAGATTCACTCATGCTAGTTCCAAAAGACTGGATGAGAAAAAAAGTTTTGCTCTTATATTTGGAAACAAGGGTTAACATGTTGTTTTCGTCCCATTTCTTTCTACGGAAATAGTTTGAACAATAAATCGGGAATTCACAGCAAATTCTTGTTAATCCAACTTCAATCATTTCTTTTCTATTGCATTTGTAAAACCAATTGAATCAAACAAATAATGATTACCGCCATCTCGTTTTGATGATACGACTTTATTGGTTTTCGTTAATTAGCATAGAATCATTAGAAAAATTAAAGTCCGCATGCAAATGAATTACATTGCATCGACATTATCTTTATGAAATATTTTGCTACAAATATTGCTTTTCCAGTTATACGTGTCTCTCTCAATACATTCCTCTCTTTTTATATCTATCTATCTATCTATCTATCTATATATATATATATATATATATATATATATATACTAGCAGCATGGCCCGGCGTTGCCCGTGCTTGATTCAAAAATCGTACGTCTCATACAGCAATCGCTATCACTTGACTTAAAATATTTTTGCCCTTCTTTGCATTTAAAGGAGTGCCCTTTAGCGTGTTGATGTTGCTACATGCCTTACTTCTTGCCTAAGTCAGATTGCGAATTTGTTCTAAGCTCTATACTAAACATTAAATCTGTTAGTATAAAAGAACTAAACAAAATGAAAACAAAACGGTCAGCTTTAAAATAGGACCCGTAACTAGAAGAATGTTAGCAACAAATACTTTTCCACACCCAACCCAGTTTCCTGAAATGTTGAGACTGGTCATACTACTTGGGAGGGGTTGTTGTTGCCTTTGTTTTGCAAACACTATACTTTAGAAACCATAAAAGAGCTCCAAAGTGTTTAACAACGCGAAGTCAACTGCACAGAGTCCAAAATGAGGGGAAAAGCTTTGATGTACTGGGCCGCGTAGTGCAGGCGAGACGTCCAACTTAAAACCCCCCAAAACCGTATCACTTGTTAGTTAATCGTTTTTTTCACAAAAAATTTGAGTGACAAATAAAAAGTCGGGCTCCGGCATGACACAATGATGTAAATTGAAAAATCGGATCTAGGATGCGCCCTGGGAGAAAGAACAAAGTTTAAAGATGTGGGAAATGGACTGCTGAGGGCATGGACAACACGGTGGTTTGTATTGATTTGTCACACCGGAGTCACATTTGGGATCACTGGGTTCGCACATTTGTAAGATTGTTGTGAAGACGTGGTGCAAAGCAGAGGGCATGTATAAAAGATCTCTCTCAGCCATTGTGGCATCCCACTGGCGTTTTCCAAATGGCCGAGACGGAGGCAGGCCTCACGAAAAGTGTCATATAAAACTCTATTAACCGTCCGTAAGTTATTGTAGGCCGTTGGACCACTAGCTTCGTGCGAAAAGAGTCGCAATTAAAATTTATTCCTGTCGCGATAGGGGAACCGGGAATAGCCTTCCGAGTGTGGTGACTTTTTTTGACGCCTGGATAGCCATCGACGTTGACCCCGCACTTCCGCTGAGCCCAAGTGTTCTTTTTTGTTCACACGTAGTATGAAGGCAAGTCTGTGTACAATAGAGTCCTAGCAATCTCATCCTGTCGACAAAGTTTGAAGAACGATGTACGCGTTGTGTCTTTGGTACGCGCAGCCACATTCGTTGCTGTATCCGCAGAAAAATAACGAAGTTCGTCGTTTTCTAGGTGCAAAGCAAGCTGGGCGATTGCTGTGTGATTCTTATGACGTTCCCTGCAAGGAAGTCCTGGATTTCGTCTACGGAACCTTCCTGCCTAATACCAAACATTGCAGCATCAGCCCCTTTTTTGATGTACTTGCATACATACTTGATGGAGCGTATTGAATGACAATATTCAACATTGATGTGCGCAGTGAACTCTTTTGTCAGTAGGGGACAGTATGGCACTACGCATCTGTTATCCACTTAGTGGCACTTTACCACGGCTGTAAATCCTCCCTCAGCGGGACTCTTTTGCCGGTACAGTGGATAACCATCGCTCCCTGTAATGGTTTTGCGCACGAATTCTCGTGGTTATACCGTGTGTATTTGCCGTCGCTGTTGTGACAGCTGTTGTAATTGTAATGCGGCCCGCACGGACCATAAATCATGTTGATTGTCACTATTTCCTACAATTCAGGGTCAGCAGAAATAAGATGATCGATTTCTGTTGTCTCAATCTTGTCGCACAGCCAAATTAGTATATATGTGTGAGACAGGCCGCGTTTGTTCCACTCAATAGTGTGCATGCGACAGCAAAGAGCCCCAAAACCTGTCCTTTTGTAATCACATACATTAACTTTCCCAACTTTAGAGGGTAAACGCGCGCAAGGCCGTCTAGACGGTCGTAAGCCGATTGCCCTAGCATAAGTTTTTTAGCAAGTTCGTACCATTTTGGGTTACACTTGAAACTTATGAATAGGTCTGGTCGGCCATACTTACGAACGTATGTTATCGCGTCTTGAGTCCTCGCGTGCATGTATCGTGGACTGCCTGTAAACGTTGCAGGTAGTATTCACATCTTGCCTATATTGCGTGGATCAGCGTCATTTCGTAAAGAATCACGGAGGTGAATGTAAGTGTCTCAGCGCAACTTAGTCTGATGCAATCTGATGTAACACAGTCTTTCGGATTCCATCTTAGCAGCCATGTCTACTATGAATTGATGGAGAGGTTACTGGCTTCAATGAAGATGATTGAATACACTCTCATGTACCATCAATAGGTAGGCGTAGAAAGCCGTGCAAGGCACTGCTTTTAAGGTGGACCCATTTTGCAGAATGCCAAAATGGTACCCATCTTCTCCGTAAGGGAAGAGAAGTGGGTATTGCAGTGCATCGTAGAACCGGTGCGTTTCACTGATTCTTCAGACCCCACTACCTAGCGATTCGATAACAATGTCACGTCTATTGTGCTCATCCCCGCTGACAATGACGGAAACTTCGTTATTTGTGGGAGAATTGTAACGAGGTTCGTGCTCTCCCTGAGGCCGTTTGTCAGCATCAATTACAATAATGAAATCAGAAGAAGTGTTATTTTTGAGAGCATACTTAAAACTTCGGACATAGCTGTTTGTCTCGTGGAGCATTTGTTGGAGACTTATTATGATATCCCTGCGAGGATGATTGTCCTGGCCTGTATCGTTCTCGGGAATAATGCCCATGCGGGTATCTGCCTGTTGATTGTATCCAGCTATGAAGTATATTTGTAGAAAGGGCGAATCACTGGCAGTTTGCGGCAAAAGAAACAAAATCCGTTGGTAAACCTGAACTTGAAACAGGAAGGTGGTATTCCAACCGACTTCGCGGAAGGCATTACCACCAAAAGAGGTCATCCGGAAGGCACAATTGTACTGTCTGATTTTTGCTAGGAAATGTTTGGAATCTGGACAGGAAATATCTAAAAGAACTTTTAACGGAGCAGGTAGCTCTTGAAAAGCTGGCAAGTGTACCTTACCGTCTGAGCAACCAAACCTGCAGACTCTCCAGGACATTTTTGGGAATTGCAATGCCCAATGACAACTGACATGGATCCTATTTGGAGGTCTTTGCGACCGGGAAACCTCAAAACTGACTTATAGTTGAACGCCTGCTTAAACCAAAACTGCTTTGCTGGGCTACAGATCTTTTGCTGTGCATGGTGGCACTGGTTGACAGTCTGCAACCTTTCAAGCCTTTCAGTAGGTCCTCATACAGATCGAGCTGCGGAAGTTGAAATTGCATCGCGTTGCCGTCTTTTGCGCTTTTGCGCGGAACATTCCGACGACCTTGCAGCAGAAGTTGCAGCGGCGTCGGCTGCATAGCGTGCGATTTTCTTAGCCATGGATTCCTGGGTCCGGCGAATGGACGTTGCCGCAGCCTTCGCTGCGTTACGTGCGGTTTTCTCAGCCGTGGTCTCCTGGGACCGTCGAATGTATGCTGCAGCGGCGTCGGCTGCATTGCGAGCAGCTTTTCGATGCGGGCTCTGTCGAGACAGCAAAAGCGCTTGTGATGAAGCCATTTTTTTTGTTGTCTTGCAAGCGTTTATGTAGTTTCCTCTTACTTTTCAAAGAATATGTGTAAACTGAGTTGTAGTACAAACGGTAGTTACGCTTACCAAGCGTTTCATGTGACAAAATAGCCTGCTTCCGTTGAGATTGATTGGAAAACCTCAAAGAGGCCTCTACTTCGGTATAATCTTCCCGATTTCTCTTTGCCGCAGACGATCTTTTAGAATTAATTTGTTCATTATTCTCTCCATTTTCCATGTTAGATTTAGAATTAATTCATTTATATTTGCAATTTGTATTCGAAAATTGTTCTAAAAGCATTGGTGAAAGTTATTTTCTATTCGGGCTTATCGAGTGAGAGTAGCAGGGAATAGAAATGCCCCAGACGAGTGGATTTCCTTTATAGATTTTGTATGGTCACAAAGTGGGGGATGAGTTCATTATTCTCCCCATTTTCCATGTTAGATTTAGAATTAATTCATTTATATTTGCATTTTGTATTCGAAAATTGTTCTGAAAGCATTGGTTTTCCAGAATCATTTTTTTTTTTTAAATCATTTTCTTCTCAGCAAGAAAAGACTGAATATTTCCTGCTATGTTTTGAATTACAGAACGATGCCACATGCTAACACATTAGAGAGCCGGTCTGCATCAATGGGTAGACAGATTAGAGCTCCATTAATCATCTCTTATTCTATTTCTGAAAACATATTGTACCACAAAATAAGTCTATATTTCTGAGATGAGGTATTATGTACACTATTTATATTATTCGGGCTATTGTCCTCATCTTTGACGCCATATATATTGTTACAAAGTTTCAGCCGTTGTATTCTCCGGTCTTCTTCATATGGAGGGAAAAGGGAAATCACCGCACTCTGTGCGATCAGGTTGAGATCATAGACGAAGAATCTCATGCAACATTTATGAGCGGTCTCCTTGTTCAAGTTAACGAATGCTGCCATAATTCTTACAATCAGTTCATCTTTGGTGTTACAAACGGTGTTGTTTGTCAATCGCTCAACTGCGCCCACACATAATAATCAAGGTGTTTTCAGTCTTGGAAGTTTGGTGGCCAGATGTAAGGGATGACGTGGTCACCGAAATTCTCTGACAACCTTGACTGAACTCTCCTGCTCGACCCAGCGCAGTACTACATCCTCAAGCCACTTGGTGTAGGCATCCGCGTTGAATCTGAATCCCTGTGAGAAGATGAAACTAGGCATAATATCGCCATTAATAGTGATCACTCTAAACACCTTCGTAATCACCATTAGACTCATTCTACTCTTTCCGAATCGCCTGAACTGTCCGCAGAATTAAAAGGTTTATATTATGAATTTCCGGATCGAATGCCAAGAGGTACAGCATCGCTTTTCCAAATTTCTGGGGGAGTCAATTATGTCATGGTGCTCATTTATCTCCCAGTTTCTGGCTAGGACAGGAAACTATATCATTAATATGAAACATTTAATTCTGTAAGGTTTAATGCTTTATAAACACACTTCCAATTGTGAGTGTATAATATAGAAAGGAGCTCTTGTCAAAGAGGCCCTTCCAGAACTAAATGTGATATTTTGTCATTTAGCCAAATTTTAGAAAGCAATTTTCAGAATCCGCTCACGCGTAATCGAAGAAACTTACACGCATATGTTTATGTTATTACTCGATAAAAACAATCTGGACACTTTTTATTTCGACAGATTCGCTCATCAAATAGTGTCATCAGAAAATATGGATTTTATTTTGGCCATTGGTAAAAACAGAACGTGATTTACGTTACTCATTCGAAATGCGAGATGTGGTCGAATTAAGATCATTTTTCTGATGGCGCTCTGTTATATGTGAAACATGTCAATATAAGAATTTACCAAATTGTCCTATATGTTAAACATTGCAGCGAATTCTCTTTCAGATATTTATGTATAGAGAAATAAACTAAAAGATGGTTTAATTATATAGATAAATAGATATGAAAACAATGGTAGAGATAGATAGATAGATAGATAGATAGATAGATAGATAGATTCACTCATGCTAGTTCCAAAAGACTGGATGAGAAAATAGGTTTTGCTCTTATATTTGGAAACAAGGGTTAACATGTTGTTTTCGTCCCATTTCTTTCTACGGAAATAGTTTGAACAATAAATCGGGAATTCACAGCAAATTCTTGTTAATCCAACTTCAATCATTTCTTTTCTATTGCATTTGTAAAACCAATTGAATCGAACAAATAATGATTACCGCCATCTCGTTTTGATGATACGACTTTATTGGTCTTCCTTAATCAGCATAGAATCATTAGAAAAATAAAAGTCCGCATGCAAATGAATTACATTGCATCGACATTATCTTTATGATATATTTTGCTACAAATATTACTTTTCCAGTTAGACGTGTCTCTCTCAATACATTCCTCTCTTTTTCTTTCTATCTATCTATCTCGGCTTATATCTATCTATCTATCTATCTATCTATATATATATATATATATATATATATATATATATATATATATGTATCTAAGATTATTTCTCTTGATCTATCTATCTATCTTGGTTTTTGTATTTCCACTTATTTCTTCCTATCTATCTATATATCTATCTATCGATCTATCTATCTATCTATCTAATAATCTATGTTTATGTATTTCAGGTAATTTCTATCTATCTATCTATCTATCTATCTATCTATCTATCTATCGATATATGTGTTTATGTATCTCTGCTACTTTCTATATCTATATATCAATGTATCTATCTATCTGTCTGTTTATGTATCTCAGTTTACTTATATCAATCTATCTAATTCTATGTATCTCAGCTCATATCTATCCGTCGATCTATCTAACTACACGCATATGACGCTATTCTTTTTTTCAAATCGTATAGCTGGCAACATCATTTTTTTCAAAAACATAGAGCTGGCAACATTATTTTTTTCAAATACGGATTGCTGGCAACATTCTTTTTTTCAAAACGTATAGCTGGCAACACCATTTCTTTTTCAAAAACAGAGCTGTCGACATTATTTTTTCAAAAAAATATAGCTAGCAACATTATTTTTTTTAAAAAAACGTATAGCTGGCAACATTATTTCTTCAACGACAAATAGCTGGCAACAGTATTTTTTTCAAAAAAATATAGCTGACAACATTATTTTTTTCAAAAAAATATAGCTTGCAACATTATTTCTGCAAATATATATAGCTGGCAACATTATGTTTTTCAAAAAATATAGCTGGCAACATTACTTTTTTCAAAAAAATATAGCTGTCCACATTGCTTTTTTCAAAAAAATATAGCTGGCAACATTATTTCTTCAAATACATATAGCTGGCAACATTATGTTTTTATAAAAACTTATAGCTGGTAACATTATTTTTTTCCAAAAAATATAGCTGGCAACATTATTTCTTCAAATACATATAGCTGGCAACATTATGTTTTTAAAAAAACTTATAGCTGGTAACATTATTTGTTTCAAAAAAATAGAGCTGGCAACATTATTTTTTTGCAAAAAAATATGGCTGGCAACACTATTTCTTCAAAGACTTGTAGCTGGAAACATTATGTTTTTAAAAAACGTATAGCTGGTAACATTATATTTTTCAAAAAAATATACCTGGCAACATTATTTTTTTCGAAAAAATATAACTGGCAACATTATTTCTTTCAAAAAACGTATAGCTGGCAAACTTATGTCTTTAAAATATCGTATAGCTGGCAACATTATATTTTTAAAAATATATAGCTGGCAACATTATGGTTTTCAAAAAATATAGCTGACAAAATTATTTCTTCAAAGACATATAGCTGGCAACATAATGTTTTTTAAAAAAAAACGTATAGCTGGCAACATTATTTTTTTCAAAAAATATAGCTGGCGACTTTTTTTTTTTCAAAAAAATATAGCTGGAAACATTATGTTTTTCAAAAAAATATAGCTGGCAACATTATTTCTTCAAATACATATAGCTGGCAACATTATGTTTTTAAAAAAACGTATAGCTGGTAACATTATATTTTTCTAAAAATATAGCTGACAACATTATTTTTTTCAAAAAACGTATAGCTGGCAAATTTATATCTTTAAAATAACGTATTGCTGACAACATTATGTTTTTCAAAAAAATATAGCTGGCAATATTATTTCTTTAAAGACATATAGCTGGCAACATTATGTTTTTAAAAAACTTATAGCTGGTAACATTATTTCTTCAAAGACATATGGCTGGATACATTATAGTTTAAAAAAAAAACGTATAGCAGGCAACATTATTTCTTTGAAAAAACGTATAGCTGGCAAACTTATGGATTTAAAAGTACGTATAGCTGGCAACTTTTTTTTTTCAAAAAAATATAGCTGGCAACATTATGTTTTCAAAAAATATAGCTGGCAACATTATTTCTTCAAAGACATATAGCTGGCAACATTATGTTTTAAAAAATAACGTATAGCTGCCAACATTATATTTTTCAAAAAAATATAGCTGGCAACATTATTTTTTTCAAAAAAATATATCTGGCAACATTATTTCTTCAAAGACATATAGCTGGCAACATTATGTTTTTAAAAAAACGAATAGCTGGCAACATTATTTTTTTCAAAAAAATATAGCTGGCAACATTATTTCTTTCAAAAATCGTATAGCTGGCAAACTTATGTCTTTAAAATAACGTATAGCTGGCAACATTATGTTTTCAAAAAATATAGCTGGCAACATTATTTCTTCAAAGACATATAGCTGGCAACATTATATTTTTAAAAGAACCTATAGCTGGCAACATTATGTTTTTCAAAAAAATATAGCTGGCAACATTATTTTTTTCAAAAAATATAGCTGGCAACATTATTTCTTCAAAGACATATAGCTGGCAACATTATGTTTTAAAAATAACGTATAGCTGGCAACATTATTTTTTTTCAAAAAAATATAGCTGGCAACATTATTTCTTCAAAGACATAGAGCTGGCAACATTATGTTTTTAAAAGAACGTATAGCAGGCAACATTATATATATATCTATCTATCTATCTATATATATATATATATATATATATATATATATTTATGCATGCTGTATATATATATATATATATATATATATATATATATATATATATATATATATATATATATATATATATATATATATATATACATAAGTGAATTAAAGCAATATTTGATATTTTGAATGTAATTTTTGTTTAATCAGCGCAATAAAAATACTTTTTTAAAAATTGCAAAATCGCCAGTGCTTGAAATATTAAAGGTTTTGATAATTTATGCAGAAGTAAATGGTAGGATCGATATTACATAGAGGTCGATATCTCTCTCTTTTGTCTTTTTTTTTTTTTTGTTTTTCTTTGTTTATAACGAACTTTTCCGTTTCTTAATACTTTGTTTACTTATGGAATGATCGGGTACAGATATCATTTTCCACGTTGCGAACAATTTTCTTACTGTTTATGATCGATTACTCACTCGTGATAGGAGAACAACTGATTGATTATAGCTAACCCGAAATTTCGATTACATCGGCTATCTCTAGAGATCTCAAAATATAAAAAAGAATTTTACATAGTGATCATCTTTCTAAAGGTCTGAAATCGCACATTTCTACTAGAATGTATTGTTATCTCCAGAAAGAAAAGGTTCAAGAAATAACCTGCATGGTGGGCAAGTCAAAATTATGTAGATATAGACAATTCACTGCCTGCGTAGTTTCATAACAAACAACAACAATATTATACAGAAGTCTAAAGGCGAATAGGAATAGCGAAAGATAACTTCCAGAAATTAAGCAAAATATTAACAGAATAGAAACAAAGCAAATATATCAGACACCATATGTAATTTCCGTGAGAACTGAATAAGTTGTAAAATTTAAATCTTTAAATGAAAACTGGAATTAGCTTCATACCCGTCAGTGTAGAGCAAGATTAAAAAGTATTAGGTATAGATTTTTAAGAAATAAAGCCATGTGCCTCAGAGACGTAGGTTTGTGGTGGTACTGAGCAAGCGAAGGACCGGATGTTAACCCTCAGAGGTCTAGATAGCAAATGACCAATACTGGTCTTTGCGCACCAGGCTTGACGCATGTTCCGGTGGAAAATCAAAAAGAAATAAAAAGAATATAATAAGCAATTTCCACCAATTAAACGGCCCCGCGCCATATCCAACAGTTTGTTTCAGCATACTGACTCAGATCCGATGGACACACATAAATAGAACGATGAATTCACTTCTGGTCAGAAAGCCTTGAAGTTACCGTCATAGAATGTCGCTACGCTTTTCTCACCCATCAACCGACGCCTCCAGTTTTCCTTCACCAACGGAGATATCAAATGACACCTACCAACCCATTGACCTCACCTTTCATCTCCTGGGACCTGCACGCCTAAACTTAAGTATTCACAAAATGACACTTTAATTCCTTTCATAATCTGATTTCTTTTCTTTGAATGAACATTTTAATAACGGACTTTGTGCGTGTTAATCAAGAAACATTATACTTATCATTGATGTGTATTTAAATATAAAGTGTTTCTGATATACCCTTCTCTTTCATATTTTGTTTGTTTATGTTATGGTGACCTCAATTTGATTGCTTGTTGAACCTTTAGGCCAAACTAGCAGCTGTCCATAAGTGACTGCTACTGCTTACCTACCTTCTTATACAAGCAACAATTACCAACGAATATACACTACCCACAACACCACAGGTTATTATGGCTCATCACAGATACCTTTTTTTATTATCTCTTAAATATGCTTTCATTAGAAACTTGATGGAGTTTTTCCGGCTCCCTTTGCTAAGGTTTAGAATTCAGAGTTTTTTTTTTGTTTGTTTGTTTTGTTTGTTTTGTTTTTCTGTTAGAATGGTTACCGCCCAAGCGAGAGTCCACGGATAGAGCTTCTGTTTAAACAATAGCTCTGAGAAGAGATGGATTCATGCCTTTCCCAAGCGAAATATTACGAATAAACGGAAATTGAACTCAGTTTATTGATTTAGCTTTCTTACCTGTAAAAC